CCACCACCCGCACCACCTCTTGCAAAAACAAAATGTTAGCCAGCGTGGACCCCGAATGGTGCGTTTCTAGCCATCAACGTTGTGCAATATACTTGGAGCCACCTATGCGGTGCAATATAAATATATATATAGATATATATATATATATATATGTGTGTATGGTGCTAGCTGCGTTGTGAAATACATGTTGCGCGAAAGACGTTGTACAATAGATGCGGAGCAATCTATGTGGTGCAATCTCCGTGGTGCAATAAATGTGCGGTGCTGTCTACGTCGTGCAATAGATGCGCGGTGCAACCTACGTGCAATATGTGTGGTGCGATCTATATTGTGCACGCTATGTGGGGCAATATATGCGGCGCAAAGTATGTGGTGCAATGTGTGTGCAACACGCGATGCAGCATATGTGGTGCAATCGAAGTGGCGCAATTAATGTAGGTTCGCAATGAATTGTCAACCCGCTCGCAATTTGAACCATGCGGACGCGATTGCGATGAGTGTTTGGTGTTGGCTGGTGCGTCTTTGCGGCCGAGCTAACCCGCGCACGCTCGCGCGCGCAGCGGCCAGCTAGTTTGGCTCGACCGACGCGGCCGCGTTGGCGCTGACCGCTGGCCGTTTCCCAACGGGCACTTCAGTGCGAGTCGGCGACTTGGGCGAGCGCAATGTCATAGCGACGTCGACAACGGTGAACACGAGGATGGTAGTAACGATGCTGGTGACGATGACGGCAACGACGACGGCACGGCCAGTGACGGCGCCAATGATGATCACGCCGACGACGATGACGGCGTCCTGGGAAGGAGTTCGACATGCTCGCGCGGCCGACGCGCTAGAGTGGCCCGCATGGTGTTCACATGCATCGTGCCCCCCCAGCACGCGCGCAAGGACGTTCGAATGATTTCGGCATGCGGCGCGAGAGGCCCGCTGGACAAAATATAATGAAAATATTCAAAAACTGATGGCCGTCTCAAGAACTCACAACAGCGCGAGCGCATGTTCTCATATGAAAAATCTGAGTTGCAAAACCACGCGTTTGCTTCAACATGTTTTCGGAGCACTCGACTTCTACATCCTGGCGAAACCTACGGTTTTTGAGAGATTTCGGCGTGCGCGCGCGACGACGCAAGCGCGTGCATTTCGTCCCGTTCTTTTGCAAGGGATTATTGCGACAGTACGCGCGCAAGGGCGTTCGAACGATTTCAACATGCGCGCGAAAAGCCCGTTTGGTAGCATGTTATGAAAACCTCGAATTTGTTCTGAAAAGGGGGGCGGTTTAAATCCGGGGGGGTAGATCCGAATACTCCTTTCGAAAGGAGAACCTATATGAAATCTACGCACTGCAATATATGAGGTGCTACTTACGGTTTGCATTATATATATATATATTTACATACATACATACATACATACATACATGTGTATATACACACAAACATACAAACATACATACATACATACATACATACATACATACATACATGCATGCATACATACATACATACATTCATACATACACTTATACACATGTATAAATGTATGTATTTATGTATGTGTATATAGGTATATATCGTAACATCTTTGTGGAGCAATCTCGGTGGTGCGATATTTGTCGCGACGTCAACGGCGACAACATAGCCGCCAGACCGACCGTCAGGCCCAGACGACGGGCGGCGACGAGGCGGCGACGGGGCGGCGACGGCGACCACGGAGCCGCCAGACCGTTGGTCGGGCCCAGTTCCCCCTAAGTGCAAGCACTGTTCGGGGAACAAGATACACTGTGCACCAAAATCTTGATCATGCGCGGACGCACCGCGATCACTTTGCATTAGTCTTTTGGCAGGGAGGGCGGGGGGGGGGCCGCATATTGCCTGCTGTGTGCAATGCCGACCCCCCAGCCATTCCTGAAAAAATATACAGGGCACGCTGCGGCAAAAGCTGGATAATGCCCAGCAACCAAGCGATCACATTGCACTCATTGTTTCTGACAGGGACGAAGGGGATGCTGGCGTATTGCCTGCTGCGTGCAGGCACGTCACCCCCGCGAAGACAATACTGAATATACTTCCCGGCAACGAGCACGCGCGGGAGCCACGCAATCATGTTTGCACTGTTATCCGAGAGGGATGAAAGGGGGGTGCCCTGGCACGCGCGGCGCACCTCGCGACGTCGCGCGCACCTGGCTGGCGTCGGCGTTGGCTCCCGGTCATGGTCGATGGCGGCCCCTGCCCATGCCGAGGCTCGAGTGCTAGTTATGTGGTGGGAGGGTGGGTGGGGGTGAGCGAGACGGCCGTCCTTCGGGGGGGGAAGCTTGACCCCTCCTCCTGCCCCTCCCCCTGGGTCTGGACGAGGTGGCCCCGAGGACGCAGGCGGCCCTGTTGGGTTCAAGACGACCCCCAGATGGACCCCGAAGCGCCAAGATGACAACCAAGACGGCACACGACGGTCCAACATGTTTCGTGATAACCTCCGACATACCTTCAAGATGTCCCAAAACGGCTCC